CGGATACAATGAATACAAATCGATTAAACTTTCCTAGAGATCATGTTACACTAGCTAAACAATAATAATGATAATATTGTGTCTTCTCTGGCAATCATTTATTTATTATTCTATCTTCTTTTATTCGACGTACTTTATTTAAATATGTGCATAACTTCTGGACAGATGCACCCCGAGCACCTGCAGCATCCTTGTAAAAAAAAACTCACATAAAAAATAAAGAAAAGCGAAAATATATAAGTATAAAAAAGATGCCAGCGTACAAAAGCATTTTTTCCGAGCTGTGCTCTTCGCTTCTGACTGCATATTTCATAGCAAAACAAGAAGAAAAACTGCTAGAAATACAAAAAGTGGAAAAAAAAAATGAAAATGCTAAACAAAGAAAATAAAAGTAAGCGGCGAGCTATACAAAAAATGGGCGCAAGGCAAAACTAAAAGCCAAAAGAAAAATGCCGCGCTTTGGCCAAGAGTGGAGAGCTGAGAGCAGAGGTCAGAGGTCACGGAGGGGGTTCGGCTCGCATTATTTTGTATTACGGCGTCCCCTGCACATTCAGTAGTGGCTGCTTCGCCCGGACCCCCGGCTCAGCTTGTATTGCAATTTTTCAATTTCAAAAACAATTTTGCTCTGCCAACATACGTGTGGTCAAAGATAAGCTCTGTAAATATATATAACAAAACAACCAAAATGAATACGGCCAGCTAGTAGGGCTATAAAAAAAAACCGAAGCTCGGCATAAAAACAAAAAAAAAAAAAGGGGGCAGCCAAACCAAAGCTAACCGCAGCTCAAGCAGCTATTGCAGCAGCTCAAAACTGGCCAAAGCCAAAAAGGCGGTCAGCAGAAAAAAAGCACGAGTCGAAATACCAAAAATAAAAATGCTATATGGGGTCTGTATGGTGTGGGCGAGTGTCAGCTTGGCACACAGCGGGAAATTGCACAAAAATGAATTGTGTTGTGCAGCATTTAGTGCTGAAATATAAGTGACCTGCTGGGCGGGACAGTCGAAAACAGGGACTCTGCGATTTCCAGGGGGTTCGTTCGAAAAGGGGCTTCTGGTCACTGCCAGGCTTCCTCAGCTTTGTTGGGGGATTGATTGAATTTTCCTTGCATCTGCCGGGTAAAACCAGGAAAAGTTACAATAAGAGTGGAATTTTATTTGGACTTCAATAAAAATATTCAGAAAAAATAAAATGTCATAAAAAAATTGGTTAATAACAAAACCTTTTACACAAAATTAATATGATATTGGCTTTAAAACAAATGTATACTAAATATATAAATGATGTATAGCCAAAGACCTATTTTTAAATGAAATTTAAACTTTGATATTCTATTTAAACCCGTTTTGCTACAATTAAATTATTTAATATCATTGAAGGTAAAATAGTCAGACGTTTACTCTAATCGTTGATTAACAAATCAATCAATCATTATTACAGTTGTGTCAAATTCGTATTAGTTGTAACAGAAACCATCGATTATCCACTTTATATAATTAATTCTCACTTTTCCGAAACAGTAATGTCATGTAACGTTTATGCTTTCGAAGTGCCAGTTAGTCAATGTACGAAGATCAAGTTGTTGGGCAGACAAACAATGAAAACCAATGCCAATGCAGCAGCAAGAAGCGATAACAATTACTGCAGTTGCAGTAGCAGGTTGCTGTTGTTGCTCCTGCTGAGTCCTTTGACCGCATGCACAAAGCAGCTTGCCAAGTTCTCAAGTGCATTAACTGCTTTTAGCGCAATGCGTCGGATTTATTACGGAAATATTGATGGGAAATGCAGCAGCAGAAGGTGAAACAGTATCTTGGCAAATCTCACAACCTCTGACCCGACTATTACGTGTTCGGTTTAATAGTTGGCTGAAGCTAATAATGTTGGAGAGCTATTGCAATGTCAGAAATATACTCTTTTTTGCTTAAACATTTTTAACGTTAATGTAAACATTTGCCAGGAAATGAAGTTCCTTTCGATTTGAATTTAAGTGTATGATTATTTCAGATCGCCGAAATGTAGTTTGTTTAAAGAATATAAATAAAACCCAAGTTTTCATTAACGCTATTTAATCGTGGTATTAGCTTTTTAAGCATCTTAACAATATTAGCAGCTCCACGAAATTTAAATCAGTATTTTCGTTCGATCGCAGGGTAAAGCAACCATTTGTCCACTCAATTTAAAATAAAACCAGGATTGATTAATTCGAAACTGCTCTACGAATGGATCTCCTTTTTTCGTGAGCGAAACAAATGTTCTGAACCGTTGGTCTGAGTAAGTGCATCAGGCATTGGCGGAAATCGAATTCATTTGGGGCTTTCGTATGCCCTGCGGCAACAGTGCGTATGTGCGATGTGGCTTTGGTAGCGCCAAGCAAATTGACAAAAGCAGGGCGGCAGTCGGCGCGCCCAAAAGGCACTCAGCGGTTGTGGCGGCAGCAATAACACAAAACCGCAAATCCCTAAGCCGCTATAACATTTCTCAAACGCTTCCAAAAGGGATAGGTTCCAATCTAGGGGCCAAGGGGCTTTAGGGCTGTGGGGTGAAAGTGTAGCCAATCGGGGCATCGAAACCGACGTAAGCCGCTAACAGAAGCAGCTGCAGATGTAGCTGCAACTGCAACTGCATCCACAGCCAAGCCAGCCAAGCCAAGCGGAGCATGGCGAAGGCAAACAAAAGCTTAGCGGGCATAAAAACAAAATGCCAAATGCGAAATGCGAATTGCGCCCCAGCGAAACCCAAGTCCAATCGAAGCCAGAAGCAAATCAAAGCAAATGCAACACTCAATTGCCATTATCGACGACGCTAAGGCAGTTGGGCTAAGGGCTGCCTTTGAAAACCGAAATGAAAATACCCCCAATGAAATTGTAACTGCCTTCAGCCAAAGAATCTCCGACGATTGCTAGCTTTCCTTGCCTGGATTTTTATATTAAAAACCGCTTAATGGAGTGCAACTTATTGCATGTGCACTGAAAAGAGACAGACAAGTTTCGCCTACTGAAAGGAGCCGCCCAGAAATGCAATAAAAATGAAATGAAAACGCCAATGACTGTTCCCAATGGCCCACCGACAATCAAAATTCAATGGGTGTGTATATATGGTCAAAGGTTTTAGGCCCTTGTAAGAGTTTAGAAATGCTTTTAAAAATAATTAGTCTCATGAGTTTATACCAACTATCAGCTTTTAGAGTTTGAAATAATTTTAAATTTAATGTTTTTTCGAAACAAAAAAGTTATCTTTATTGAAAGCTTACTTTTCAAACTTAAAACTCTTATAAAAATATTTGTCACTAGCAAAATTGAACATTTAATTTTATCTAATATAATTTAAAAAAAAAAAGATTATGTGTTGAAACAATTTAAGAAAATGTAGTTGAAATAGACAGAAAATATTTGTTTAGGTAAATCACTCTTTACTTAAACTAGATTTGCTGTTCTGTGAATATCTCTTTCTTAACATATTTGGCCATAAAATAAACCATAATCTGGGCAGCCGGTGATGTTGATCATATTCCTCGCCAATGGCCCACACATTTCCGGAGAAGCTGCCATCAAGTATGCATCACATACATGCGAACTGGCAACGCATGATGGGGCAAGTGGAGCAGTGGCACCTCATGTACCATAGGTGGCACCACCCTGAACCACCTGGACCAGTTCCACCAGCCCGATTAAGTGAGTTGAGCAGCAAGAAGCTGCTCTTTTTGCTGTTCTTTAATTTGAAAAAATTGTCAAGCATCAAAACACTTTTAGAGCTTTCCTCCGCCCGAAGGCAGTGGAAAGCAGGAGATGAAGCCCAAGTTACTTGGCCAAGTTACTTGTCAGCAGCCGCGTGCGGTGCGTGTAAATAAATCAAATAAATTATGGGAAAACCAAAGTAAAGTGTGAGAAATGGTTGCTTCCTCCACCGCCCCCGCCCCCCTCCGCTACAATCCCTGGCCTATTCATATGCTTATGCTGTAGCCGAAAAAAAAAATAAAGAAAAAAATCAGGAATGGAAAACCAGACTAAAAGAGTGAAAATTTCTGTTGGCGGGTGTTGCAGCTGGAAAAAAGGAGTAACACCGACCATAAAAAATAGCAGCAACGTCATAATCAACAGCAAAAAAATATTAATGGAGTTTTCATGTTTATAATGTCATTAGCTCACAAATGCTGCGGATGCTGTATAAGCTTATGTTGCTGTTTCTGTTGCTGTTGCTTTTGCTTTTGCTGCTCCTGTTACTGTTGCACATGTGCCGTGATTCTGTGCCACATATTTTCAGTGATTTTTTCGCTCCTGCCACCACCTCCTTGGGCGCACACAGAGACAGCCGTAAACATGCAGCACACACTCATAGACACATATACACATCTATAAATGTGCGAACACTAATGTGCACATTATGTTGGGGCCATTATGCCGGGGTCCCTGGCTCCTCGAAAGCCAAGGGGCCTGGAGCCGACTGCCAACCAGACCATGCACAATGAGTTGGTGGTTTGGTTTTCTGGGTGGCGCCACCAGTTAGCAAGTAAAAACCCTTTAACTCATTTGTTTTGCTTAGCACAGCAGCAACAACAAGGGGAGCATGTGAATGCGGAAAGAGGCGGCTTGCTTGTATAAAACAGGGGGCGTGTGAAATAACGTTTAGCTTGGCATTACGGGCTAAGACGTATACCCCACACCACCCTGGGCCAGATTGTCTTTGCTAGCAGAAAGTCAAGTCTTAATATATCTTAAGTATATCGAATCACATTTTCATGCTGGGTATTTCTGCTATTTCTTCTAAAAGAAAAATATTATGAGGTTTAAAAATGGGCTTTAAAAATTGTGGAATGTAAAGTAAATGGATAATAAATGTTTTCTAATAAATATACATTTTATGAATAATATTAATTTTGGGTTGACTTTTTAATCTCCTATTATAGATAGAAAGTTATAAGATTGGGGCAAACAAACCGTGTTACTAAATAATTATGTATTATTTAAGCCCTCATCCTGCGTAAACTAATTCAAGGTGTGAGATATATTATTCTTTAACAATGGATGTTTATTTTAATCACAGCTTTCTTAATCTTGAAGATCCGTCATAGACGGCACATTTACTACCATATCTATTTTATCCCGCTGCTGACCGTCATAAAATTTAAGTCCTGCAAAATGCTCGATATCCCGAATGTCGGATAAAAATGATCGCAATTCCATTTCCGTGTCGACATTGGCATTGGGCACAACAAAGCCTTCCATCATAGGTCCAGCACCATCAAAATTCTGATCGCAAATGATGACTTTGAAAAAGTGGGTTGGCACAGCAACAGTGTTCATGCCCATTACGTGATGACGCACAGACCAGTTTCTGAAGGTAATCCTTTGCGGCATGAACAGAGGACCGGTATAAACATAGACGGAATCGAACTTTAGTGCGAGTTCCCTTACATAGTTTTCCAAGCGTAGCCAAATGTTGTTTTTTAGTCCCCTATCGATGGGTACAATGTTGGGAAATTTGTAGGCTTCCATAAATTTTTCCATGTCGCATTTGTAGTTTTGTGGTGAGACCAGATGACCTCCAACCCAATCGCTGTTCCTAAAATCCCGCATAGTTGCACTAAATATTGGCGATATGGAATTATCCGGTATGTAGGAGTTCGGTTTATTCAGCGTCTTTGGATCTCTCAACAGTAAACAGTCCTTATTTATGTGTTCGCACACCCAATGCGCAATTCGGTTACGACGATCGTATGAAAGTACAAAATTTTTATAAACACGTATTTCATCCATTCCCGGAAAGCCATACTTCATAATTCCAGCCACATGCTCTATTGCCTTATACTTGTCACCTGCCTGTTGACCGACGGAAAAAGTCATGAACATGATCTTAAAAAGCTTTTTCATTAGCTATCGTCTTTCCCATCATTCAAATTTCCACTTACTACATTAAATGCCTTTGTCCGACTCCACAGTACGAATTGCTCAAATAAGGACACACTTCCAGTATCTTGCAAATCGATTGATCTTTTTCTGTTAGTAGCACCCTCTAAGCTATTTCTCTTCTCGTTTTCATTACCAACTATGGAAGTTGTAGCATACCGTCCAAAAAGTGCTAGCTATAATACATAAAGTCTATTACAACACTATAAGATAAAAACGATGGAACTTACGGCACTAAAAATATGTTTGCGACACTGGAAAACATAAGGATCAGTAACCATGATGGCCTTAATTTTTCTGTATGATATATCTTGTTGGACCATCGCACCTAGAACAAAAAAAGTAGCTCCCGTTGCAGCACAGAATGTTGCAATTACATAAATTGACATTATAATGATGTTGATACTCTGACTGTTGTGTAGAAATTTAAATTTTGTTATCGAAATGTTGTTGTAAAAATTACACGTACGATATACATAATAGATTAGAAATTTTTAAGTCTAAGGAGATTAGTTTCCTAAATGGTTTCTAAACAAACATATTTAGAACAAAATTTTAGATTAACACAGAAATATGTAAGGAATAAATAAAATTGCTCACAACTTTGACATTTTAAGCAACGACATTTTATTAAATCGAAGTATTTAATACAGGGACTAGACAACTGAGCTTGAGTTACAAACAAATTGAAACATTTTTAAACATTTTTGTTTTATTTTTGTTTAAATACCAATATAAACATGTCCCTAGTATGATTTACTTCTTCTTTTAATACTTACTTTTTCCGCCTTTTCTGTTGACATTTTATGCTGTTTTTAGGATATGTGCTTACCATATTTGTACTTTAACACTATATGCTTGTATTATTATGAATAATGTAAACTTAATGATATGACACAAATTTTGTGTGAGATGTGAGCGAGTTTAATGTATTTTAAAGTTACTTTCCACCCATATCGAACGCATCTTTACTAAGCTGCGAAAGAAAGTTGTCTGTCTAGAGAAAATAGAAAGGAATATTGTGCTAATTCATGAGAGACCCCCTTTCTCCCACCAAAATCCACCCCCTTGATATCCACAGGAAAATCTAGAATTTTCCGCTCCCTTTCGCGAGGTTTTTCTACTTTATAATGATAACATTTTCATGTTTTACAATGTTGTAATGCCTGGATATGAGTCCCAAAAGCGGCATCCTGCCCTAGACGATGTTTTTATGACGTCATTTAGGGGTTAATGTGTGTGGGTGTGCGCGTCATGGTTGATTCATTAATTTTGAAAACTTTTCAAAACTATTAACAGCAACAATCTATCCACAGCGGCACTGAGAGGTTTTCGAGCTGAGTTTCCCGGGTTTTGCGTTGTCAATTATAATTTTGCCGAGAAGAGCCAGGGCACGAATGCATTATTAAAGAGCTCAATCAGCCTTGGCCGGAAACGGAAGTGAATTTCAAGTTTTTATTTCAACACTTCCCATGGCGAAAGTTTTTTGGATGCGGGAGGGGAAAGTGCACGTTTACATCCGCGTTTAGTTCGCCTTTGTTTGAGGCCAGCAAAGTTAGCGCATTTCATTTATTCATGCCTCCTTGACCAGGCCCATTTTCCCCTTCTCCACTTGCAGCGCTCTTCCGTATTTTCCTTTTTCTCGAAGGAAACAGGATGAGGCAGAATGTCGCGTCCTGTGCTAAATGTAATTTTCCGTTGTTAAATCCTGTTTTTCAAAACTTCTTTCCAAAGTGTAAAGGAAGTCAACTCGAGCAGACAACAAGCAAAATGTAACAAAAAAAAAAGGAGGAAAAACAGAAGACAAACCAGAGGAACTACCAACAAATATCAGACAGTTGGCGATAGAAATAAATGGCACTCATCATCTCTGTTCCTCAAATCTTGCAATTTTTTAAGCTTGTCAGTAAAAACTGTATAAACCAAATTAAAGTTAAAAATCAAATCAATGTAAGATGTAAAAATTCTTTCAGATAGCTGATAAATTGAAATGACAATTAAAATACCCTTTTTTATATAAATTGTTTGTCATTTCTAGCGCAAAATAGATATTAATTTGGACAAAGCTCTTTTTATATAGAAAAGTTTATACAAATTTATATTACATATTTGAACTTCAGTAAATATTACAGGAATTAGTTTGTTAGTAAACTATTCTTTTTCCTGCAAGCCAACATTTTTCACTCTTTTATTTTCAAATAAAAGAATGTTTGAAATTAATATGTTTGATTAATTAAATTAGTTTGTTGGTAAACTATGTTTTCCCTGCAAGCCAACAGTTTTCACTATTTTATTTTCAAATAAAAGAATGTTTGAATGAAAACAATTTTTCTCACTAGCGTGTGGAATTAATAATTATACAGATTCTCTGATTTCTGTGAAAGAAAATAAGTGAGGTTCTTAATAATTAATTCATTTTTATTATCGTTTGTATAATGTATTATATTTCCACTCTCGAAAATGTCCGAAAATGTTTACAGCTCCAAAAATGTTTCTCGTCCTTCGAGAGTTATGGACCAACTTGATGGTAAATATTGTTCAAAGCCACGCCCAACTAATTACAACTTCTTGTGTGCCGCAACACATTTACTTTAATTAAGTTATTTGCCCCGCCCATCGTGGGTTAATTTTGGCCGGCCAAAATGACAAATGTACCAGTGCGAACGCCTACCGAAAAAACTTTACAGCTGCGCGGAAGCGGGTCATAGTTTTTATATGTGCGAGTACATCTCCTGACTGACAGTCCCGCCTCCTTCTGCTCCTTTTGGCCAGGACTCACTCTGTCCCCGAGGTCTTTGTCCACTTGGCAGGAAAACAAATTTACGGCATTGCTTTTAGTTGTTCCTCGTTATTGTTGTTGCACATTTCAAATGTACATAATAATTCACACTCTCTGGACTGCGGGGGAGGGAGGTTTGGTGGGGGGCCACGCACAAATCTACGCCAAAAGTAAAGTCATAAGAAAATGCATAAAACATGCCCAACATTCGCCGTCAACGTCGCCAACACTTCAGCTGGCTGCCTGCCTGCCAGGCAAAAACTTTTCTCATCATCAACCACAAACAAAGGCCAAAACAATGGGAGAGCAAGTGAGACGGCAACAGAGGCCAGAGCGAGAGGGGCAAAAGGGGCCCGAAAAAAAGCCGAAAACCGAATCGGTGGACCAGGCCCAAAACATAAATTGCTGCAGGACAGCAAAAGAGAGAGTGTGAGCCAACACAGTACACACTGGAAAAAATTTCTATTTAAATTGGTTTCCATTTGCTATAGCTTTTAGTCGGAATATACAGAGATTTCTATTATAATAAAATATTTAATAATAAAAGGCCAAATCAATAAAGGTACACAGTGAAGACAGATTTTACATCATCATTTGTAGAACACTACTAAATGGAGCACTTGCATTCAATATATAAAAATATTTTAACAACACAAAGACTTTTGGAATTTCATCTACATTTTATGAATGTTGAACATGGCATGACTTTTAAAATTAATAGTCTCACCAAACTTAAAGTTATTGTTGAGTTGTGTTTTTGTGACACCTCTGATGATAATATCCATTTAAAAGCATGGTGTATATCCTTTAACTCTATTTCAAAAAACGTAGTTTTTATGAATAATATATATATATATATATAACATATTCCGAGTTTTACCTTTGTTACCATAAAATTAAAAGCTTTAAAGGCTTCTTCTAATAGGGTTTGACTACAATCAAATTTTGTACTGATTCGTTTAATGTGGTTTAATATTGTAAATATCTTTCTTCTACCGTGTAGACAATGGCAGCCACCCCAAAAAGACCACCCCCCGGAGCACCTCCACAGCACACGCCCACTGCCACGCCCAACCGGCTAAGCCACAACAACTTTGCAGCAATTAAGCTCGGGGCCAGTTCTGACATTGGGCCCAAAAGCAATGCGAAGCGAGGGCCGAGAGAAAATAATTTTTAATTGTGCTGCACAATGCTGTAAAATTAATTCATCTTTTTCACACTCAAATAAATTGCTGTTGACGCGACAACAACGGCTTTGCGGGTTGAGAAGGGGAGGAAGTTGTTGTCGCCGTCGTCTGCTCAAGAGCGTAAATAATTACATTTTCTTTGTGCTGTTGCCAAAACGTTGCAATTCCTGCTGCTGCCCCTTAAACTCGAATCCTCGGCCGCCCACTTGTCCCTCATCTGCTGCCTTTGGCTCCAACCTGTCACTTGCCGGTGGCAAAAAGCACAGAAACCGACTGAAATAAAACAAAACTGCAATTGCAGCTGCAGCCGAAACTGAAACTGCGCGGCATACATGGCGTATACGTAACGTGCTGGAAGAGCTGCAATTTCTTTAATATATTTACGCCCAATGCTTGTAGCAAAACAAACAATGACGCATACAATTTATATTTAATTATGCGCAAATTAGTCTGCTCTACCCTCCTCGTGCAGAAACATACAAAAAACCAAAGCAGTTGGAAGTGTTGGCACATGACAAACACTCTCAACTTTTTGCCCCGTATTGCCCACTATAAATGTGTATAGTAAATGCGGGTTTGGGGAGCTGCGAGTTTGGTTTTTGTTTACTGTTCAGTTTCGGTCGGATTTTACGCTAATTTTCCCTGGCCCGTTTATTGCGGCCTTGTTGCACTTTTTTTTATTAGATTGCATGCTTGCAAGCAATTTACCGAAAACCTAATGAATATTCAGCAGTTTGGGGGCAAGCGATAGCTTACAGTTATGACCAGAGCTATGGCATCTCCCCTGCACTAAATGCCGGTCGTAATCTATCCGTTTAAATTATTCAATTCCCTTGCCCCGGCTGCTGTCTGGATTTGAACACCTCACAAATCGGACGGCCCAAAGGCTGCCACGTGGCAGGATTAAAAGCTCTCCGGACGATGGGCTAACTGTGCGTATAAGCGATTAATAGAAGAAGAGTAAGGAAATGAAGGGGAGTCATGGAACAGAGAAAACGAATTTCTAAAGAACCATAGAAAAAGAACAGTGAAATGTGTATTTATACTTTAATGTTAATTAAAAAAAGTTAGTTTTTTTGCTGCACCCCAAAACACAACAATTTAACAGATATACCGACCAAGCTTAAGAAATAATATCTTAATTAATCTTAATTTTCAAAATTGTTTAACATCTTTCTCTAATAAGCTTCTGTATCGATGCCTCTACAATTTATGAATATTTCCTGTGCGCAAATACTTTCGACAAGAATTTCTCTCGCTGGGGCTCCAAACTTCTTTAAAAAGTGCTTCAGTCGAGAAGAGTTCTTGCCGTGAAGAGTTTAACAATTTAAGTTGAGCAAGAATCCGCACAACTTTGACAATCGAATAGTTTTGCTGGCAAAAACTTTAAAGACACACCTCGTGGGAGCCCCGCCCCCTTTTAATTTTATCCCGTTTTCCTGGCCAACATTTGCACACTCATTAAACGCTGCACATCAAGTTGGTCCCCGAAGCCCGCACAATTTATGGCGGCAACTGCGAGTTGCATGCCTCCGTAATTAACTTGTTGTACCCGCCTCGCATGCAGCACATTGGGGCCCGTATAGGGGCTGCAGACGGTACAGGTGGCACTGCGGTGTGGTT